ATGGAGCGACGACGCTTCTTCAGTCCGGGCAGATAGAAATTTTAGCCTCCAAAAACACCGGGTAGCATTAATTCCATGGTTTCCTATGTAATTTTTGGCGCTGAATCCGAATTTGACCATTTCTTTAAAAAATTGTCACCGAGATGTTGCCAAATTTGGCAAAAATGGCTTAAAATCGGCCTTTTTGGCGGATTATGGCCGGTGACTTGCCAGGAGTTGATCAGACGACAAAATTGGTTATTTCCACAGTTAAAACTCGTTAAACTCTATACAAGCTGAGTCAAATTCTTTCTGCTCACGGCAAAATTAAACGCGCGACAAGCAGCAAACTGAAAAAACACCAAAGTTGGCGCTTTTTGCGGTTTTTGTTTGAAATTAGAATTTTAGGTCCGATTTTCAAAATTCAAAAATTAAAAATGGCGAACGTGGTCTAAATTGTTATCTCGGCTTCCGATCCATCGATTTTTGTGAAATTCGGTATTAGGAGGTGTATTTCGACAGAAACTCGCATTTTTGGTCAGATTTTCAACATTTCCAAATCCAAGATGGCGGCCCCGCACGAAAACGCGGTCCGGACTCCTAGAACATCAATTTCTGTAAAACTTGGTGAAAAAGAAGATTAAGACATAGATGTTGTCTCTTCATCAATGTTAAAAACTGTGCGGAGCGAGTCGCAAGTTCGTCGCGAAGCGCAGAACTGGGGTCCAGGGGCACTCCCTGGCTAGACGTGTCAGCTCGCAAAGCGAGCTAATCACGACTAGTTACTCTATATAAAGCTGCTGTTACCACTCACTCTGCCGCCCCCCCCCCCAGAGAATAATTGGTCGAAGCGATTTCCTTTAAACTTGGTACACGCTTAGCTATTGTCGTGAGGAGTTTATCAAAATTATTACGGTTCCAAACCGCTGCCTGGGACGCCCGCAACAGCAAAAAGTTGTTTCTCCCTATAGCAAAGCATTGGAGATACGCGGTTGTTTACGCGCGACTCGCCGAACAGGTTCAATCCCGTCGCGTGACGACACAGCCTTATAGACGATTTGAGGTTTCAGGAGTTATTTTTCGACGAATTTTTCTGGAAGTAGGTGTCTGTGGGTATTTTTTAACGGGGAACTCAAATTTTTGGTCGGATTTTCAAAATGTCAAAATCCAAGATGGCGGCCGTGGCCTAAAACGCTAAAGTCGGCTCCTGTTCGATCGATTTTCGTGAAACTCTGTATTTGTGGGTACTCTTCGACGGGAAATTAGAATTTTAGGTCCGATTTTCAAAATTTCAAAATCCAAGATGGCGACCGTGGCCTAAAAAGCTATCTCGGTTCCTGATATCCATCGATTTTTGTGAAATTTGGTATCAGGGGGTATATTTTGACGGGAAATTAGAATTTTTGGTTAGATTTTCAAAATCCAAGATGGCGACCGTGGCCTTAATCTGACCTCTCTAAATCCAAATGAAGTTCTTACTGCTTTATTTGTAATCACGTTTAGCACTTTTTCCGTTCTTTTGTTGAACTAAAATTGGACTCTGAAATGAAAGAGTGGTTGGATTAGTGATTTAAACCGGTTTTTAGTGGAGCTTCTCCTGAATTGTGTTGGGCCTCTATGAGGAACATATTTTCCCAAATTAAAATTTATTTAAGGGAGAAGTTTAATTAAAATTTCCATTTTTCAATCGCCATTAATAATATTGGATAAATATTGCTGTGTTTACTAGGTACTGTTTATTGGAGCTGATCATCATTTTCTTGTCATTGAAATTTATAAAGATTGTGTTACAGAAGGTAAAAATTCTCACATATCTGGTCAATTCCGAGGCTTTTTCACTGATTTTCAGCAGCCCCCAAACCCCTCTCGGCAAACACAAGACCTCTCCTGTCAGATTCCCTGGGTCCAGCTGACATAGCACAGCTACATTTAATTATTCAATATAATTTTTTAAATATACGTATAGTTCTATACGTATCGAAGACTTTAGACTTCAATACTTGTCTGCTACGCATTTGCGAACATTTTTTTCCCCTTTTTTTTCTTTTTTTTTGTAACTTTCATCTAAACTGTTGCATCATCGTACGATAGATTTTCCATCAGTCTAGATACTCAGACTCATCATTGATCAATTTCTCTGGAATATCTAGCATAAATGATTCTAATATAGGTAACACTTTGTAGGTCTTCGAGATAGAGTAGCTGGTAGCTAGAGAAATAATTCCCACTAATATTAACCTCTGTTAGGAGTCAGTTTCCTGCATAGACTGGAGGTCTAAGATCTTAACAAATCGAATATTAGTGTTAGATTTCGCAAGAAAATGCTTTCTATGTTGAGCCTAATTTGCTGCTGGCATGAAAAGAAGCATGTGGACTATAGGTCCTGGCTGTGGTATGAGAGGCTGCGCAATAGAATCAAATGATTCTTTGAGATAAATTCCTTACCTCCGAACTAGGAAAGCCATTGATTTAGCTTTTTTCTGACACCAACACGAATAAAAGAATCAGCCCAACACGCAGCGTGTATCAGAGGAATTCATGCATTAATCATCTCTCTATTTTTTGCACTGGGTCTGGAAAATACTGAAATAATGGTTTATTTTGCTGAGAGAAAAGGAATTTGTTTGATGTTCAATGCCTTACACAACTACTTTCACACAACGGCAAGAGGCTGCTGTTACCTTTGACGCATCAACGAAGAGATATCACAAGCAATATTGAAGTGAAAAGTTACAAAATCAAGCAGCGCTACTACATTTAAACTTGAGAGTACTAGATATTTATAAGAATTAATCAGAAGTGTTCGGAGGCTTTTAAGTAATTTCCGGTGGAAAACCCACTCCTTGAAGACATTGGTACAATGAACAAGTGGAGTGAAACAGTTGCAAAAAGCACACGAATATTTACTTACGTTGGCGTAACGGTGAGCTTGTTGAGGCTGACACGGAACAACTGTAACGATTTAAATTGAATGAATTTGGATTTAATATGATATAATCGATCAGCACTGGACTCTTGGGCCTACGGGGTGATGATAATTTCGTAAACGAATATGGCGGCGCGCGGCGGTCCGTCACAACGTTAAAGATGAGTTGTTTAAGTCAGAAATGCAACCGCTGAGTTATCCGCTGAGTGGCTGAGCTCAGTCGAAGTGTTGTTAAACGTTTTCTGAGTTATCCGCTGAGGTAAGCAAAGGCCACCATCTTCTCAGCAAAATCGCTCAGCGCTCAGCCTGCTTCCCAGGTCGCCTACCAGTTTTGCTGAGAAAATGGCGGCCTTCGTTTACTAACAAGAGTGCATCATCGCTTAGCGGGTAACTAAAAATGGCGGACTGACGTCATTTCGCTGACTTCAATTTCTAACTTTAACAACGCGTCTTAAGAGTGCCGAACCGCCGAAGACGCACCGCCTCGGTGGAGATTCGGGTTTAACCGCCGAATTCCAACGGTTGACCGTCTTAGTCGCCAGTCGGCAAAATATGGGCAAAACCCACCACGTGATCTGATCAAACCTAACCTCCAAATTTTCGAGTTGTCCATACTCTCCCTACAAAGGTACTCTGTTAGCCTCATCCTACTGTAAAAACAGTGACAATTTGGCAGCACTGTTTTCTGATGTTACCACAGAAACCAAGTTGAGTTAATGTTTACATTTGTCAAGAAGTAAATAACATGTGATCCTGCAAAGTTTCAACTTTTTAAAGTAATTACTGCTTGTTATAGGTAACTTTTAAAACTTCGTGTACTCACGATCACACTTGTAACACAAAACAAGGGGTTTCCAATGTAACTATTTTACATTTTGAGATGACAATTTTTTCTCATCATCCTCAAGTCAAGTACAACCTCAGAGTATTTTTTTCCAAATTTTTATTGCAACAATTAATGGGTAAAATGTGTCACGGGTGTGCATAATGAGAAGGGGCTTCAATTATGCAGATGTTGCCTCATTTCTCACCATTTTTTCCATGCTTATCATAAAACATACACTCACTTGCATAGTTAGAGGTTGCCGGCCAGGTTGGCCTAGTGGTTAGCGCGTCTGACTCTAGGTCAATAGGTCCCGGGTTCGAATCCCGGTGGTGGCGACAAATTTTCATGGAACTGACGAGTGGATCTGTAAGCAGAATTCGCTCGGCCTTAATCCGTGAAAATTTGTAAGCCCGAGCATGGATGTCTACCAAACTCCCTGATGTCTTCGGACAATAAATAGTGCCTATAGATGGCTGTAGATTCCTAAAGGAATAGAAGCCACTAAACTCTCAAAAAAAAAAAAAAAAAAAAAAAAAAAAAAAAAAAAAAAAAAAAAAATAGTTAGAGGTTGTGTTCACATCTAATGAGAAAGAGATAGCCAACATTTCTGCCATCTTTTAATATTTTAAAGTGAATATACCTAATCTCAATTGATTTTTTTTCAATTAGAACTCGTTAAACTTTCTCAAATTTGATTGAAATATTTTCACTTTATTGTAGATTTGATCTCGAGCTAAATCCCCTTTCAAGAAATGTAGTTTTTTTTTTATATAAAAAGACTCAAAATCATCTAGAAGTCATACAGACACCCAATGTGACTTGTGCCTTGTCTGTAATGAAACATAAGTGGTGTACTAAAAGAAAAGAGCATTAAATGGAAACATATTGTAAGGAGTTGAGGCACATATTCTTTAGTTAGGCATAGGTATCACCTACCCCCCCCCCCAATTATCTACCCAAGACACTGACACCAAGGGACTGTCCTTGAATGTATTTTGACTGAAATTAAGACGGAACTAATGAAAGAAGGCCCCAAAACTTCCCTCTTACAGCTTCTGATATAAATATGTTGGTACCACCAAGGTTTCGTTTTCTGTAAGAATACTTACATCGCGTTGATTTCTCACCAAGTATTTGGTGAAACCAGTAGTTGATTATTGAGGACAAATTCAATGAGGAAAAATGTTGGAAAGCATGAACATTTTACTCCATTTTCATAAGATAACTTCCTTCTTGTGTGCTTGAGAATGTCCTTATATCATGTTTCAGTGGGCTGGAGCACTGTGAATACTGTGCAGGGATTTGGCGAAGCTCCAAGTGTCAAATCTCAAATACTCAATCTCATTCGATCTATTCGCACAGTTGTGCGCAGTAAGTATTTCTCACGTTCGAACTCATTATTATTGGTATTTTAGAACGATTTAACCGATTTCCATATTGAAATATCAAGCTATTTTGTCTGTTTTATGATCTTATCTCAATCGCCTCTTTCATCATCATCATCATCATTAATATAAACTTCGAAGGATTCAGACTTTCAGTCGATTCCACCTTTTTCTATTTCACTTGAGAGGTTGCCAGATTGTGCGATAAGTGTGAATATTTTACATGAGTTTGAACTGGGAAAAGGGCTAAAAAGCTACTTATCTGGCAACAGTAGAGTCCGCGAAGGACGAGAGGCTGCCTTCCTGGGAAAACCCATGATTTCGCCGGAAATGTCATTAAAACAAATTGGTTCCGTTTGAAGCATCAAATGTACATTAGGGGAAAGCTAAAGAGCCGTATGCAAAAACGACATTTTTCGCCCCCCCCCCACTAAAACCTATCCAAACTTCGTCTGTCAGTTACTAATACTGGAGCGCTTCTTTCCCCAAATTTTCAGACCCCCAAAAAAGTTTGGGGGGCGCTAGGGGGGGGGTGGAAGTCAAAACCTGTGAACCTCGATATCTTTCGAACGAAACAAGATATTGAGGCCCGGTTTGGACGAAAAATCGTCTAAAATTGCATACTTTAAGATTCTAAAGGTCAAAATCCCAAAATTAAATTTTTGAATTAACTTATGTGCTTTTTTCAGTTTTTGAGGAAAAGCAATTTCTTTTAAACAGATTAAACTGAAATTTCACATTTTTTGATTTGAACCAAAAGCAGTTTTTTCAATTGCTCGTCTTTTTCCGCATCCAACGAGTGGTCGTCTAAGCCGGGGAACTGAACGGTTCCGGAGTTATGATCGATTGAAGTTTCCGCTCAACGCGCGCCGACCGATTTTCGCGCGCAAAAAAGTCGGATTTAACTGTTATTAAATCAGATTGAATGTTCAAACTGAGCAAAATGCATTTTTAGGGACTCTTGAGGGTCGCTGAGTTCAGATATTACAGATACTTCTAAAAAATTCACGTTTTTAAAATTACAGCTCCGTAGCGCTATTTTAGAGGCCCACTGAGCGCCGACCGGCCGCTCAGTCGTCCTGTACGGAGCTGTAATTTTAAAAACGTGAATTTTTTAGAAGTATCTGTAATATCTGAACTCAGCGACCCTCAAGAGTCCCTTATAATGCTTTTGCTCAGTTTGACCATTCAATCTGTTTTAATAACAGTTAAATCCGACTTTTTTGCGCGCGAAAATCGGTCGGCGCGCGTTGAGTGGAAACTTCAATCGATCATAACTCCGGAACCGTTCGGTTCCCCAGCTTAGACGACCACTCGTTGGATGCGGAAAAAGACGAGCAATTTAAAAAACTGGTTTTGGTTCAAATCAAAAAATGTGAAATTTCAGTTTAATCTGTTTAAAAGAAATTGCTTTTCCTCAAAAACTGAAAAAAAGCACATAAGTTAATTCAAAAATTTAATTTTGGGATTTTGACCTTTAGAATCTTAAAGTATGCAATTTTAGACGATTTTTCGTCCAAACCGGGCCTCAATATCTCGTTTCGTTCGAAAGATATCGAGGTTCACAGGTTTTGACTTCCACCCCCCCTAGCGTCCCCCAAAATTTTTTGGGGGTCTGAAAATTTGGGGAAAGAAGCGCTCCAGTACTAGTAACTGATAGACGAAGTTTGAATAAGTTTCAGTGGGGGGGAGGGGCGAAAAATGTCGTTTTTGCATACGGCTCTTTTAAAATAATAATTGCAGATGGACACAGATTCTACAAAAAAGGAAAAAATGAAAGAGAAGGGAGATGAAATAAGGATAAAATTACTTATGCAATCAGGGAAAATATAACAAAAACATCAGAGAAATTTATATGCAAAAAAACTATAAAAAAACACAAGTGGGCTCATTGAGATTCGGAACTCGAACTATACTATCGTTGAGTCGTTTTTAGACCCCTATGCCATCGATAATCTTCTTAGGAAGTAAAGATGAACTTCCGCTACTTCAGCAAGTCAAATCGCGGAAGGAGATCCATTGATTGTCCACTCGATGGGATGACGTCCCAGTCAAATGCGTTTTTGAAGAAATGATCATCCCCATCATCGCTTCATTTCCACACATCTATTCATGTGCAAATGATGGCACACTCCGGCAACAAGGTTCTGTGACGAAATCATTTTTGCCTCCAGAGTCTCCAAAATGTATTCATCTTAGTGATCAAACGTCCAATCACTGAGAAAAATGGCTCGTAGAGCGAGCCGAATGTCACTCGCGTAGCGAGTGATCGGGGATCCAGGGGGCGCAGCCCCTTGGCGGGCCGTGACGGACGCGCTAAGCGCGTCCAGAACGGCTAGTAATTAATTAATATTACATGCTGGCTTTACTTTGAGCCCTTTGTTTTCCACTTTTCTTCTCATCATGATGACAATATTAGTACGCAAATCAAGATCATTCACATTGTAAGCAGATGTAATGTTGCCTATAACGTTGTGTTTTACAATGCTGAAGGAAAGAATTGAGGACCATACTGGAAGAAGGGCGTAAGTCACACTTACAAATAAAAATATATTATCATTATTTATACAGGGTGTAACAAAAGTCCGTCCCACCCCTGCTAACTTTTGAACGAATTGAGCTGGGGAAATGAAACTTTGGGAATGTTCCTATCTCAAAGGGGACCATCTTTTGGGGGGGGGGATCAAAATTTTGGTCCCCTCCTCCGGGGGGGACAGGGGCCCCAACTTTTTTAAACTTTAAAAAAAAAAAACGAAATTTAATCACCTTAAATTTGGTTTTTTTTTTAACTTTTCCCGAAATTTGGGGACTTGCCAACGTAATGTTGAACTGATTTTGACGTTACTGAGATAATGTGGAAGCAAATCTAGGGGAAATTGGCTTATTTCGCGGGAAAACTGAATGACCTTTTAATCTATGTATTTGGGGGTCCGGACCCCGCCCCCCCCCCTTAAAATTCATTCGAAGTGATTTCTGCAATTTTTACTTAAAAGCGGACACATTTTGGTAAATTTTCCTTCCGTATGCAAAAACGACATTTTTCGCCCCTCCCCCCCACTGAAACTTATTCAAACTTCGTCTATCAGTTACTAGTACTGGAGCGCTTCTTTCCCCAAATTTTCAGACCCCCAAAAAATTTTGGGGGACGCTAGGGGGGGTGGAAGTCAAAACCTGTGAACCTCGATATCTTTCGAACGAAACGAGATATTGAGGCCCGGTTTGGACGAAAAATCGTCTAAAATTGCATACTTTAAGATTCTAAAGGTCAAAATCCCAAAATTAAATTTTTGAATTAACTTATGTGCTTTTTTTCAGTTTTTGAGGAAAAGCAATTTCTTTTAAACAGATTAAACTGAAATTTCACATTTTTTGATTTGAACCAAAACCAGTTTTTTAAATTGCTTTTTATGATTTTTTTAAAATTGGTCAAATTTGACCTTCGACCTATCATAACTCAGTCAAAAATTAAGATATTGATCTGCGGTCTGCGCCAGAATTCTTAGTTTTCTATGCTCTTTTGAATGAGGTATCACAAGATAGGGGTTGCCATTTGACAAAAAAAGTTGGGGGCCCTCCGAAATTTGACCCCCCCCCCAAAAAATTGATCTTCCCGAAAGATGGTCCCTTTTGAGATAGGAACATTCCCAAAGTTTCAATTACCCTAGCTCAATTCGTTCAAAAGTTAGCAGGGGTGGGACGGACTTTTGGTACACCCTGCAATTTAAAAAGAAATAATAATACAGTCACTGCCCCGATTTTAGGAATGATCCAGCGATATTACAGGTGTGCAGGATCACAGCTTTCTGGCTTTGGTTGTGAACGTTTTCACTTAGGTGGATCTGCTTCTGGTGTCTCAGGAGAGAATGAGGAGTGATCCCCTTTACAGATATTATAAATGGTACTATTGTCGGAGAAGTATTCGTTTCCGAATATCCGCCATAAAATCTTTCGATTTTAGGAGGATATTCGACAACGCAACTCTCCGTCTATTTTCGCTGATACACACCACGAACAGCGCTTGCGCGTACTAGCGAGGATTCGCGATCGGCAGACGCCGCATCGCGTGGTCGAGAGAGTTCGGACAGAGTGTTTTGGAAATTCGTGCCGAAGGGAGCTGTGGCATCGCCTGCGCTTTCGCCCAGTTTTTCTCTCCTCTCAAGGGTGACCAGTCCATTTCGTCAGTAGGAAAATCTTTGTTTTTCCTTTCATCACCTCTCGCAGCCAAAAAGTCCTTTTCTCCGTCCCTATCAGAAATACCTCAGTCTACGCTACGCATTGCGGTATCGCGACAAGACTGAGGGCATTTCTGATACGCAGGGACCATAGAGGCGGGATTCGTTCCCCACACTATAGTTACTTCTTTTAGCTTCCACAGTCGCTGTATTTCAGTTACTAAGGGCAGATACTTTTCGATCTACGTTAGCATCTACGTTGGCATCAGCAGGGACTGAGATATCCATTAGGTGAGGAATGTCCTGATTTTTATCTAGGAGGACCATATCGGGCCTATTGTGCGGGATGGTCTTGTCGGTATAGATGGTAAAGTCCCAATTTAATTTATAGGCTTCATTTTCCAGCACAGACTCGGGAATATATTCATAATACGGAGGCACACTGTCCAACAGGTTACGATGTACTGAAAGCCCTTGGTGGATTATTTTGGCCTCCGAGTTATGTCTCCTGGTGTATTCGGTACCAGTTAGGAGTCTGCAACCTGCTGTGATGTGGCCAATCGTTTCAGGGCATAATAGGCACTTCCTGCACGAATCATCAACGGTTCCATCTTTAATGATGAACTTCCTATGGTTTCTTGTGCAAAAGACTTGATCCTGGATGGCGAGTATAAAGCCTTCCGTTTCCGGAAACAACTGCCCGCTCTGAAGAAATTTGTAAGACAGGCTTTTGGAGATATGATCTTGGTGGATCCGGCTATAGTGTCTTCCGTGCAACTCTCTAGATGCCCAGATGGTCTCTTTCTGCTCATCC